TTTCATTTTCTTCAGGGACGCAGCCCCTGAATTGGGACACAGCCACAGGCTGCGTATTTCGGTCCCTCCCCCACAGCATGCACTGCACATGAGTCATGCACTCTGTATACTCGCCGTTCCCAACCTGTCGCGCGACAATGTGAAGTCACGGGAGCGCCTTAACTATTTATACTTGCGCCGGTGGTCGCGACACTAGTTGCAGTTTTCTCCTGTCACGTTGTTTTCGTTTGAATAGGTAACGCGGAGACTTACAAATGTTTATGGGGAAAGGAAAGTGTAACTGAGGACTTCCTTGCAAAGTGGTTTTGACAAATGTCCAATAAATGCAGCATGTTTCTGAAGTTTAAAAAAATAATCGTTTGAATAATTGTGATTTAAATTTTGACCCAAATAATCGTGATTATGATTTTTTCCATAATCGAGCAGCCCTAACCCCTGAATTGGGACACAGCCACAGTCTGCGTATTTCGCGCATAAGTATTTCGGTCCCTCTCCCACAGCATGCACTGCACATGAGTCATGCGCTCGGTATACTCGCCGTTCCCAACCTGTTGCGCGACAATGTGAAGTCACGGGAGTGCCGTAACTATTTATACTTGCGCTGGTGGTCGCGACACTAGTTACAGTCTTCTCTTGTCACGTTGTTTTCGTTTGAACAGGTAACATGGAGACTTACAAATGTTTATGGGGAAAGGAAAGTGTAACTGAGGACTTCCTTGCAAAGTGTTTTTGACAAATGTCCAATAAATGCATCAATTTTGACCCAAATAATCGTGATTATGATTTTTTCCATAATCGAGCAGCCCTAAGTCTGGTGCATGATAAGCCTTGCCACACTTTGCTCAATACACAGGGCACAAATGTGGACAAGTAAAGAGTGGGCTCCAAATGACAATCAAAGGGAGGTAGAAAACACCAGCAGGCAACCTTCCAAGTGCCAACACAATCCAACAATAAAAAGTGCCACTCATTTCTCATGCCTTGTGGGATTGGTCTTCCCAAACAACAAGAATTAAAAGTGGAAAATCTAATATTAATATATTTGTAACTATCTTTTCCCAACCAGATCTAGTTACAATGGATTCCACTACTGACCAGTTTAACATCATGGAAAAAGTATCAAGACATCCAAACCACTCCTGCACTATGATTCCTCCTTGTCACCTCAATAATAACCTCTAACTTGTTCATTTTAAATGATTATTATGAGGGCTTGACCACAAAAACATACATATTTGCTAAAATGAACGGTAAAGACTAGGTGATAACCATGCTGGTTTTATTTGCTCAATTGTATTGTTTTGAAGCAGACACAGAGAGAATACTTAGATGAAAGTCAATGAAGAGGTAGCAGCCTATAAAACTATATATAAACATAACATCACGTTGATCTGCTGCAATTTTAAAGCAGTCAGCCAGTTGAAATGATGAATTCAAATTGATAATACTGGTGAAAAAGCAGTTCCATGAGTGCTCATTGGAGAGAAAGACTCATTTAATAATTAATAAAGCTGCTACTAGAGACTGAAAGCCCTTTTGTGTGCTTTTTAAAATAGGATAAAATGGAACAATTCATGGACACATAAATTTAAAAAATCAGAAAATATTCCACTATCTACTTAAGTTTCTATGCTGTATACATGAAAGATAAAGGGCTGGTACAAAACATTACTGTAAGTATGTGTATCAGGATTTTCTCTGGCTTTTACAGCAGCTTAGGTGGTAAAATCACCAATGTGTTGGGTTTTAAGCAAGGGTGGGGATTTACGATTCACATGAACCTTTAAGAGTAAACACAAGGCTTAGCATGTGTTCATCCAGTAGCAGGGCAGTGTAGTAAAACACAGTTTGAACTCACAACTGAACTTTATACAATGATTTCTCTAGTATGACATAAAAGTTCAAAGATAGTATTGCTGAGAAATTTGCTTAATGTATGTATACAGGAGCAATCAAGATATGAACATAACGTCTAACAGCTTACTCGCATTTGTTGAGGCAAGAGTTTGTTACACTGATCAGCCATAACATTATGACCACATGGGCACTCTGGTTTAGTATTTTGCAGAGAAACAGAGAGAGAGACTTTATCTGGTGGATATTTTACTAGCACGGAGCAGTTCCCCCTAATGCCCGGTTGTGAAAATGGAATCGCGGCTGAAAACATTCAAAACATGAGATGTGTTTCTTGGGCGACTTTATAAGACTTACAGCTGACCAACAAAGTAATGGAGCGGACATATAACGCCTGTATATGGAGAGGCATGGTGGGGCAAGCCGGTGTGTGTGTGTGTGAGACAGACGTGTAGTTGTGTGTGCGTGTGTGTACACTATAAGCTAATTAGAACCAGTGATCAGTGATCGTTATCGGCCAATACTGCTTCTACTGATCGGTGACCGGCCTCAAAAATCCTGATTTGAGCACCCTTAGTATATATTAAATTATTGTTTAACAATACCTTACGCTATAGTGCAAGTACTACCATAACTGTTGTGATATTGTATGACATTGTACAGATGTTCCTGATATTGTGTAAGTGCAACCGTTTGAAGTAGTAGCTCCATTATCAGCTTGACCTACGGCATGCCTTATTAACCTGTCAGTAAACTAAGCTAGTAATGTTATGTTGTTTACTACTAAGAGGAGGACATTAACAAGCAAAGCACGGAGCAAAGCCATCCCGAGCAGACAATCGCGACACCAAAGCATGTCGAAGATGTTGTACAAAACAGCTGTCTAACTCTACAATGACAACAAATCTGCAGACTGACTTGGCAAGGTTAGCTTGCCACCTAAGTGAGGCACCGGAGCGGTGGTACCACAGACGAGCAGAGCATCTGGCCCCTTGCCAGAAGCTCATAAAAATGCCATCACCAATAAGAGAGCAAGATTTATATGGAAGGATATGTGGATATGTGACCCATTGGTGTGGTTAAAGCAAATGTCTTATCCTATAGTATAGTTTTTATGATATGTGTTTCTGAGTGGTGTCATACACTTGTACTTGTGTGTCATTTGAAATTTTTATTTGAATTGATTTCTAGAGTAACATCCCAGTAATCTATGAATTTTTCCCTACTAAAAACCAGTATCGGTCTCAAAAATCCCATATTGGTCAGGCTCTAATTTTGTTTTAAGAAATCCCAGCAATTTTTTATTTATTTCTAGGTTTGAAGATAATAAAGTCTTGGTGGTCAATCAATGATCATACTAGGATCACTACAAATTAAAATCAATCAAAACGGCCAAACGCTGTTTCTTCCCTTGAGAAAAGTTGAAATATTATGTTCCTGGGGGACACCATACAACCCACTCAAGGACCCCTGTTGGTCCCCGGACCCCACTTTGAAAACCACTAAATAGTTTGGCCGATTCATTTTCTGACAATCCACAAAACGATTAATCGACTTATCATTTCAGCTTTGCATTTTGTCATGTTAAAGTCATTTTTTTTATTAATTGACAGCATGTAGGTTAACCTCACTTCTGTCAGATCCATGTTTGTGTGGGAGTGAATTAACCACACAGCAGCCAAACACCTCTTCAGCCAACCAGACAGTGAATGAAACAACCAGCGACTCAACAAGCCAACAGGCTTGGTTCCCTCTAATCCCAGTTCCTTGCCAGCCTTGCTTTACTGGGACCTGGTCCAATCGATAGAGACTGACGTAAGAGATGTGTTACATAGTGAGAGACCTGTCCCTTGAGATGATTGAATATCTCTCGGTCTCACACTGCCAAATGCACAATTGCATATTACGGATGAGAATATTGACATATATTTACAGCCAATTGAGGTTAAATTATGTAACCAATTAATTCATGTCTGAAAACAGAAAGATAATAGAGACAATCGAGAGATTATTGGACTTCTAACCAAGTGATTTACATTACATTATATTACTATGTATTATGCATATTACATAATTTGGTCAAAGTCTTTTCAGGAAGGCACAATCATCCATGGTGCCTAGCAGCTGCTGGGTAACAAATGTAAACACAGAAATAATAATCCTATAATTTTGAACAGGCAGCTATATTTTGCTGACTTCTGCTGACTAGCCATTCAAATACCTCCCTGGAGCCTCAACACTGTATGAACAGGGCACAGCTAAGAAGGCAGTCAGAAGCTTGTTTGCTGTATCTAATGTCTCCTGAGTGAAGATGTATAGTTTTAAGAGCTGGGAAGATATTTCACTCTGCAGAAACGCTGAAAAACAAAACAGGTACAAATCATAGTTTCCATCAGATGTAATCCATACTCCAATACTCCCAAACAAGCACACACTTTGCAGACATACACACATAAACACCAAGATGGAAACCATCCCCTCTCTCTACCTCACAAATATTTTCCTCTTTGTATGTGCATTTGATTTTAACAGTCCTTCCTTGTCGATGGCTCTCAGTGGAATAGTAATTTTAGGACTTTTAGTGCTTTTAGCTAGACTGAATGAAAACAAGAATTTAATTTAATTTCACTTCAGTCAATAAACATCATCTCTATTGGCAGCATGCACATTGTTTGGATTCAGCTACCTTGGCAGCCCAATTTTCCATCCTCCTCTCCCTGACACTCCTTGTCTCCCCCCTCTCTTCCTTCCTCTTCTCCTTGTCCCACTCCTTCAAGCAGCCATAACTGTCTGTGTCGGTTTCCTCTTAGTCCTGCTCCTTGAGGCGATTAAAGAGTAGAGAGGAAATGTTTCCATTTCAAGAGGCATGTCCGATAAGGCAACAGCTTCTCACCCTCTCCTTCCCCTTATCCCCCTCATCCTCACACCTCTGCCTTTTTTCCGTCTGGTCAAATGTACAGACCACCTGCCCCCATTCATTAGCACAGACCACTACTCCACTCTACCATAGAAGAGGACAAACCAATATAAAACACAAACACACACCAGAGCCACTGGATCCTTTTCAAGTGCACCATGACAGTCAGGCACACATAAAACCACACACACACACACACACACGCACGCACACACATAACCAGACGTACCGTAAGCACATGCTCCCCTTCGCTCTGTTCATCCATTTAGACTAAAACATCAAAGCAAAGGCAGCAGGGACGTTAGCCAGTTCCTTCTTTCTGACGGTTATCTCTGTTGTAGAAGGTGTGTACGAGCTAACCGCTAACAGACACTGTCGCACTTGTCTGTTCCCTCTTCTTCCGCTCATCTCTTTATAGAGAGAGGAGAGAGAGGGAGCAAGCTGCTTCAGAACGCACCGTGCTCTGCTCTACCCCTGTCAGCCCGCTCTTTGCTTAGCAGCCAATCCCACCATGCCACCATGAATATTTCATTCGCCCAGCCAAGAGCCTAAAAACACACGCACACCACCACACACATTTGGAGGACATTCAAATGCTCACCCGCTGAGGTATTCAGGTCACAAATGAAGAACCACCCCCAACACAGATAAATAGAAACAAGCACACGTGTGGGTTTGGCATTCCTTAGAGGGTGCAATGAAATGAAAAAGGACAGATAGCTGTGTATTCATTAAGCTTCAAAATGCCTCCCCGCCTTTGACTTTGACATTCCCAATCTTTATCATAGCCTCAAGGTTCGACATGTCATTCAACAACCTGTAATTTTGGAGGATTGTGGGTCACTTGTTTCCTGTCCATAACAAGAACTGTTATATGTTACATGAGTAGGGCAATAACATATTCCTGAAACCTAAGCAGTTAATACATTTTAATTGACAGAGACACTCTGTGTCTGGTCCAGTAGATACCCTGTCGACATGGCATTCATAACAGCGGCAGTCAGTTCCAAGTAAACTAACCACAAAACCATAAAGGCAAAGGTGAAACTAAAATTAAGATAACCCAAATGACGGATATAAAGTGGGCACAAAATTAAAACAGAAAGAGTGACATCTAAAGGCTGAACCGAGGCATCAGGCATTTTTGACTGAACAACCTGAGAGCTTGTGCAGAGTGAAAAAAAAGGTAACACCACATGCACTAGTATCATGCATTATTTTAAGTAAAATGTTTTAGAAAACTGACTTTAAGTAAATGTATTTAGATTCATAGCTTTAAATAACAAGTATGCAGAATTTAGTGGCATTTAGTGGCATTTAGCGGAGACTGAACACTGGTCACGACTGTCTTTGACGACCTGGGAATGAGAATGGGTTGTGAAGTGTGTAGGACAAACTGCAGTAGTCCGTTCTGGGCTACTGTAGAAACAGGGTGGTTCAACATGGTGGACTCCATGGAAGGAGACCTGTGCGTCTGTACATATAAAATCTAATCTAATGAAAATCTAAGGTAATGAAAACCCAACAACTGTTATATTCAGATGATACACTAATGATAACATACCTATGAACATTATATTCCATTTCTGCCAATAGATCCTCCTAAATTTTACACACTGGACCTTTGACTTCACACTGGGGCTGCAACTAACCATTATACTAATTATTGATTAATCTGGCACTTATTCTCTAGATTCATCAGTTATTTGTTTGGTCTATAAAATGCCAAAAGAAATTTCAAAAAAAGACTCATCAAAGGTTCTCAGAGGCCGAGGGGATGCCTTCAAATTGCTTTTTCCTCCCAGACCAACACTTCAAAATCCAAAACTATGCAGTTTTTTTGTGAGGTAAGAGAAGGAAAAGCAGCAAATCCTGAAATTTGATAAGTTGGAATCATCAAATGCTTGGCATTTATTCTTGATAAATGACTTAACGCTTTACTCAGCTGTTGTTTCAACTCTTCTTTATACAACTTTACAGGATTGTATACTGGGGAGTTACTGGAAAGTAAACTGTATATTAAACAGACATGAATAATGAATGAATAAATACATTATAACACGTGTTCCTAATGTAAAGCCACAATAGAAGACAGTACTATAATGATGTGTAATATTAGTACACCCATTGGTATGTAGCTGCACTGCACAATACATCCAATGTACTGGTGTGGTACAGATGACGACAGTCGTCGTATAAATTGTAACTAAATTTAGGGTTTTTGCTTTCTGTTTGTGGTTCTTTCTTGTTGGGTAGTTCTGCATTATCAAAATATAGCCTGCCAGACTGCATCACAGTTTCCCTTATAACTAGTAGAACAGTTGGTTTTGTGTCCTATAATATTTTGTATAGTATGTATGCAGAAAGAAAGGTCATGAACAAAATACTTAAATTAAAATGTAGTTTTACACACACACAAACACTAATCCAAAAGCACATTCCCAACACTAATTATTTCAGTAGTGTAGCTTCTAATGCAAACCACATGACAGTGTGAAAGAGAGTAGGGTCCAGTTTATGCTAGAAACCATGTGCTGTCAAATCATGTAAGAAATGAGAAGTGTCTATAGCTGTTCCAAATATCTGATCTTCATAGAGAGGGGGATATCTTTAAATATGGGGATAACGACGCACATTATCAGGCATTCTCTCATGGAGGGCATTTATAGTGTTACGCCAGGGACACACAGTAGGCAGACGCGCTGCAAAGCGCTGCCCCCTTCTTTTCAGCACCCATGTTAACCTATTGGGCTGTTCAGACAGAGTGAGCTATGGCCGCAGAGCTCCGCGGCCGGCTCATGATCTGCAGCAATAGTTTCGACTTATGTTCTATTTTATGTGTGCACTGCAAGCAGATCTGGCAGATATGCATACCAGGCTTGCTAACACCTTGTCCTGCTCATCTCCTCACCGCCCCCCCACCCCCATGAAATATCAGCCAATATATTTAGTACAAATAGTATCTGCTATTTTTATTATTTTTTTAGTTGTGTCTTAACAGAGAGCAAGAGAGAAGAGCAGCACACACACACACACACACACACACACACACACACACACACACACACACACACACACACACACACACACACACACACACACAGGAGAAAAGCCCCTCCCAACAGATCATCACTAGGTGATGGTCCTTTTTACTCCCTTGCAGAAGAAGCGACGCCCAGCTCATCCAGTAACACATAAAAAGCTTCACATTATAAATTCATGAGGTTATTACAAAGAACAGCAGAGGAGCATAATCGCTTGTTGGCGGGCACGGAAAAATTCACTTCTGATGTGAACAGCCAGGCTATAGCTCGAGTGAGAATTGACATATTGCGTCACTTTCGTCTCTTGTGTGTCCCAAGCGTTACACTCTGTTGCTCACATGAAAAGTGTCAAGAATGACAAAACAGATAGCAATAGAAATTCAAACCCTTCTTATTTTCCCACATCCACACACCTAATCTAATCACTGCATGTAAGTGTCAAATGTCCTTAACATGTACTGTTCTCTTTAGGCAGCATGCCCATGAAAATGCTTTTGTGTCATGTTAATCTGCCGATTAATTTTAATAACTGTTTGGCCAACAAAAACTGTGAAAAATGCCCACCACAGTTTGTTAAAGCCCAAGATGAAATGCATCACACTGCTTGTTTTGCTGACCAATAGCCCAAAACCCAAAGATATTCAGCATACTATCATGGAAGAGAGAAAAAGCAGTCAATTCTCCCAGTTTGGAGGTTGGACCAGGAGATAATTGAAAGAAAAACACTATTAATCAATTATCGAAATAGTTGCATTATTTTTTCAATCAGATCACTGAGTAATTGACTAATAGCTTCAGCTCTAAACATATCCATCCATCCATACAGTCAGCCATCCTATGATTTTCGCTCATGAGGTAACACAGCTTTGCCTGGCATGTGCACCTCCCACTGTTTACACACAAGAAAGAGGCTTAGGGAACCAAGATTAACTTCTCAGTGTCTTAGATCTATTATCCATCCCAGTTCATATGACCACCAAAAGGAAACCAAGCTCTGTCATAGGCAACCACCAAGACTCAGACCCCACTCAGCAGCATAATGAGTTGATGAGTTTTGTAAGTTTTCCTGTAATTGGACGAGCTTTCAAATCCTCTCTGTACGCACGGTAGACAGAGGCCTAATACTATTTAAATTAGATTAGTACAATCTTTGGCCCTTTGATCTGCTTTTCTGCCTTTTACATTCACACAGTTAACATTAGGGCATTGCTCTGTTCACACACAAGCTTCAAAATGTCACAGTCAGTAGGGCTCCGATCAAAGATCTCCCAGAGGTAATCTACAGGCTATAAAAGAAGGCTTGTGGTCAAATGTTGCTGATTCGAATCGGTGGCTAAAAGAAAAGAATGACAATCTCCCCTACCTCCACAGCTATTGTTGATGGCAAGTCGGTTACCTTCAGTGGAAGCTTGTAGCTCTACAGAGAAGCTCCAAAGTGTAAATGCATTGAAAGGTGTGAATGTGAGGCACAGAGAAGTTAGAAAAGATTGCCAACTATGTTGACAGGCAAACTTGACAGACAGAAATCAACTGCATGACAATGGTACACATGTCTGTCAATTTCTATGTGATTTTGTGGACCACTGCCTCCGAAAAGCACTTAAAACCATATGGACTGTTGTACTGTTTAATCACATCCTACTTTCTAAACGAGCATTTCATTCTCACAAAAAGTAGATTGGGTACAATATAAACAAACAGGCTCTCTGTTGTGTACGCCAATTAGCCCTTTTGCTGGGTAACTTAGGAATTAATTATTTCTATCGTATTATCATGGTATAGCTGAACAGAACAGAGCACCATAAGACTGGCAAAGAGGCTGATTCTGTGTAATTACCCGTTCCAAGCAATGCCATACAATGAGTAAGCATCATAAAACACTCACTAGCCCTGGCTGTAAGTGCTGAGCCAAAAATAGTCCAGGTCATAGAGCCTACACTGGCTGGACTAAAACCCTCTTTTAGTAGTGGAACAGCAGGACGCGCAAATCCCTCTTCGTGTGGCAAGCCGCGAAACACCTGAGGTAAAATTCGATGAAAGCTCACACTGTAGAGCCAGGTGAGTATAGCCGATAAACAGAGCTCAAGATGTCCGTGACAGAAAGTGTGTATTTATTGTCAAAATATGACACATGGACCAAAGAAAGGAAAATAGTCTGCAGGAGTTTAGGATGTCATTATCACCTGATAACTTTTTTTAAAATTGTTTTTAAATAAAATACACATATCAACTTCAAAATGTTTGCTGGTATAACACTTTTTGGTACAAAGTCTATGTAGGATAAAATAATTTAACCCATCTTTCTGGTAAAAGAGACAAAACAGAGTCGTAGAAGGAATTTTCCACTAAAATCATTCAGTTGTAATAAACTCATCTCTAACACTGGA